CGCTTACAATGTGGTTAGTGTCGACCACACTTAATTGCTGCACTTCGCAACCGCGCAGAGTGATGCTCACGGATGCGTTCATGCAGACGCCTGGTCGTGCGGCCCACATACTTTACTCCACAGGAGCAAGCGAAAGACTAAATACAGAAAGAGGCAGCAGAATCGGGCACTCCTTCAACCGTAGACATACCAACGGGCTAGATGTGAATAGAGTTTGAAGCTTAGCCGCGTAAAACATTTTGTTGATGGCATTTGATAACCTTCTATGCGCAATCTCTGCCAAGGTGTTGCCTTCTCATAAATTGTCCTCTTAGGAAACGCCTCCTGTCGTTGCATCACGGATTCCTCCAAGCGCTCCTGTTATCTATTCTGGATAAAGATATTCAGCACATTTTATAGTTGTTCAACCAGCATGTCCTTAGTGAATATTCATTTAGTTCTATTGACCAAACAGAGTATGAGACTCCGCTTCATACGGAGTGGTACAAAGCTACGGAAATGAATGTACTGCCAATTCCAAGTCGCGTTCTTGTGTACTGTTTTATTCATCAACAAACAGTCTATTGTTAAACCCAAGATTTCACATCCTGTTTTACTGAATAAACTGAAAGCTATTGAAATTTTACCTTGAACCGGAGACTTGTAGTTTATCTCCTCAGCATCCCTGCCTTGAGTTCGAAAGAAATCGATTCATCCTATCCAAATCCAAAGAGTACCCGCCGATCGCATTACTTATGCATGAGTCGATGAAAGTCACCAATTATCCGATCGTTCTCCTCCCCCCACGCATCATTCGGACTGATTGATTGACTCTTCGGTTTACTCACCAAAGACCTTTTGTTCCACCGTTATCCGAATGAATTTACTCGTAGGGGATTTGAAAGGAAAGTTCAGACCGGGCATAACGACAAACAATTAAAACCAAACGTTTGATAAGCTCATTCAGACCCCGTTGTGGTGATTGAGCCTGAAACGTATCGATCTTCTAATGGGTGACACTCACAGCGCAACAGACCGCGACATTGGGCGTTGACCGACACAAGTGAAGATACATCAACAATCCATTCTCGATTGAAAAACCCGTACCCACGAAGTAGAAACTATTATTTCACTATGTTTGATAAGTGCTTCCACGCACCAAACTACAAAGTGGAATTCGAATTTGTTTGCTTTACCCACATTATTGAGATATTGCAAAGCAATATTTCAACCTAGTATAAGCACACTTATTAATCAACGGTTATATCCTTCGCTACGCGATCGACCACGTTCCTGGTGGATTAAGCAGCTTATTGAACAAGAATGTGGACTAATCGTTTCACGAAATAAATATTTCCAACAAGAATAAAGTATATCTGAAAATTGACTATTCTGATCAAAATCAACTCGCCTTATGGGACAGGAAAAAATCACGGATTTAGAGGCGAGAAGCAAAGTTAAACAATTCCTAAAACCAACAGTTCGAACGATCGGGAATATCTTCGTTAACCCTCGGTCATATTTTGGTTGTTTTGGATACAAAAATCATGCGCGATATATTCCGTCCAACGTTTTCTCCGAACGAAGTTTTTTATAATGCAACTTAACGGGATCGATAACCGAAACACCTTCTAAGAAACGTTCATTAAACAGCTAAATTTAGCGTCTCGTTAGTCGAGTCTTACCGACAAAATAGAGGCAAAATCCGTTGAAATGTTTTCTTCATATACGTTTAAGTTGTACTTCATTAACAGAAAAAATCAATTCAGGGTATACTCGGGCAATGGTTTATCGATCGGTTACCTTCGCTTTAAATTACTGACGGGGCAAAGGATACTTGACATGGTTGAACAGAAATTGTTTGTTGGCTCTCTTTATATTCACATGGACCTATAACTGTTCCGTAACTCGAAAATTATCTTGTTTTTATCAACAAATTGTTCCGTCTCAGACAGTGACATGGATGTTGCCAAGCCTAAGAGAAAATGGAACCACTCAAAAAATGTTAAGCGATGCTGAGACTCGATATTTAGAATACAAGCCCGAAGGCGAACAATTGTTTTTGAGTGATTCATAATCGTGCCTGTAAAGGTCATACAAGGGTTTGTTGATAGTGGGAACACATTTTCACGCTGGGTCGAAAGATCATTTGGGATGAAGAGAGGGGAGGGGTGGGGTAAGCCCTGCATGTCTGTGTTCGGATGAGGTTGATTATGATTGGAGTGCTGGTGGTGATGTTGATGAACAATTTGAGGGAGGGGAGGGGGATAGGGTAAGTGGAGAGCTTGAACCAATCACTTTTGTGCGTATAGTTCTGGTACAAAGAGGCGAAGGTCTATCACCTCAGAGGTGGCTAGTGTATGTGTGTGCTTTGGAGAAGTTAGGGGGGGGGGNGGGGGGGTACACGATAGATTACGCTAAACGCGGATTCTAGTCTGACTTGATAGCCTGTATCCACCAGATGACCGAGAACGGCGCTTCCTATGCTCTTTGTTCATCGTTGTTTTAACCATTGTGGGCAGTGTTCCTTCATCCGTTGGGGTGGTTGCCTCGCCATGAGGCTAATGAACGTTGCATCACAAACGCACCGAAAAGAGTAGATAACCCTAGAAGTGTCCAGTGTAGTGGCTAGTTCCGATGATGGGCGAGCATGCAAAGACACGATAATCGAGCTGCGTCCTAGGTTCGCTTCACTGCACGATTCAGACGTTTGTTCAAGAGATCCGATATAGTATCTCATTGAAAAGGTACACCGATGAATAATTTCTTCTTTTGAGCCTCGTGAATCTGTTCGGATTATAGCCTTTCAATGGATCGTTCAGGAAGACCCATTTCTCTGGGAACATCCTTAATTTGTGTTACTTCTTTTCACACACCGTCAGAGCAGATCTCATGCGCGTGTGGTGTGATACTCTGAATCAGATTTATTTTCTACCTGAGCGGACGGTCCTGTAAAAGTTTGTTTATGGTCCCGTCCATGTCAGTTTTCTACGTATTCAACGCTCTAAGAAACCACCATATTTTCGGGGGAATGCCACATCCAGGAAGATCAATTTTTCGTTTTCCTCTGTTTCTAACGTGAACTGATTCGATTCCTGAACTTCATTGAATATTTGAAGCAATCTTGTCGTGTTTCTACCTTTTCGTGCAAAACGGAGTATGGCGTTCACGTAGTGGTAGTATAGACTCATTTGCTCTATTTCTTGTTTCCACGTTGTTTTCTAATTTGGCCAAAAATATATCTGCTAACTGTGGGCCTAATGGGAAACGCAAGGCCACTCAGTCTATTTGACAGAAAAATTTTCTATCAAGTAGAATTTGAACTATGGGTGAAAATCTCAGTACCTCCTTCCGNGTATTCCTATCTGTATTTATTCAGTTTCAATGTAACGACAAAACAAATTGATGGTTTCTAAGAGTGGTACATTTGTCAACAAGGATATTACATCCAGGGAAAATATTTGATCATTCTCTGCGTTCCGTGGGTTGATGATGTTCGCAAGCTATATGTAGCAAGCTTTTTGTGCACTGGTTCAAGAAGTCCTACGAGCCACTTGCCAGTTTCGTGGTATAGTGAGTTGACCACAGACAGAATTGGTGTTAATGGTCTGCCAGTCTTGTTGTCCTTGGGTAACCCGTAAGGGCGTGGAATGATTGACCTAAGAGGCTTTATTGTTTCCAACACTGATTGGTCTATATAGCCTTGGTCCTTTAAGGATTTGAAACGTTTTCTTTTTAGCTTTGCCATTCCCATTGTCAAATTTCTTCTTACCGAACAGTAGCTTGGACATTTTCTTAATGTAATTGCACCTATTCATCAGAACAACACCTTATCATTTATCTGATCTGCTTTTATTGATGTATTTATGCTGCTGGATCTCTTTAAGCGCAAATACCAACCGGGCTTGCATTCCCGCAGATAGTGGCACGATAATGTGCTGCTTAGTTTTATTTCAAGCTCCAGTTAGTACCGCACAATGAACTCGTGATCAAACGATTGCTATTAGATACCTGATGCGATAGATCTTGCTCGCCGTGACCTTATCGTAGTACTAGGTAGTGTTTAAACAAGAAGAGAGACAGCACCGTAATCAGAATTATGCCTGAACTACTGCGTGAATTTGACAAAACAACGTTCGACAATCGTCTGTGCATTTCACAAATACTGATAAATAACTTAAAGGGAACACGAAATGAGATGCGATATTTGCAAACATTCAGACAGCGTAAATGGACCGAATTTGCTTTAGTTGTAGAGAACTATAAACAGGCTGAACGACCTGCTATGTCGATGTTAACGTTGTACATCATTTTGACTTTCATTATTTTTTTGATGAAACATTACCCATTTGTGTACCGGAGTTGCTATTATTTGTTTCATCTTGACAGGATTCTGTTTTGCTGAATGTAACAATCCAAGTCCATGTGATGCATTTTCGCATACCCAAAAACCAAAACAACCGACTAACCAACCAACCGACCAACAACGTTAACGATTAAAAATTGACCCACGTTAAATCACGTCCGTTTGTCAGTTCAAATGGACGGTTGACAGAGCAGATAAGATCTTAACCTGGGACAACAAATTACTATTAAAAAAGAAAAGGGTGGTGTTTTGGTCAAACAATCCCGACCAGAGAAGATGGTTGGATTATGGATACTTGTGAGAGTTATCGCATTCATCAATTATCAAACATCTGTAGAAAGTCGGTCCAAATAGCACACACACACACGGTCAGATCTATCATAAAATGGTCCACGCTTTCGCGCAGTTTCCAAGAAGCGGGATAGCTGCTGCTTGACTGTAGCGAGTTTCCAGTTGGCTCAGTATCATTTATTTTGTTTAGTAATAATAATCCGGGGAAAAACTACAGTCGTCGGTTATATAAAAAGTTCTTGGGCGTGAAAATAAATTACTTCACTATTAGTTAATCTTTTCACCCAAATCCGGGACAAATTTGGGTATTACGCGAACGCTACACACTTAATCATACCAATTTTGTATAATTTTATGGTTCTAGGAACCGATCGCCGGAGCTTTACTCGCTTCTATTCTACTCACTTCGTTGGGCAATAAAACGGACGACTTCACGGACAAAGAGGATTACCGGAGCTTTGCAAAGTAAGCCCGATCCCCCTGAGGATTTTGTTCCCTTGAGAGTGTGAAAATCGAGCTCACCATTTTGAAATCCCAGCTGATAGTGAGTCTCTATGGTCAAGTCTGTTCAAATGCACTTATTTCACAACATTCCCTCATTATGTCCCAAAAAAATGTTTTTGTTTTTCAGTACCATCAAAAATCATTTATGTTCCGGACCATTTGTGATTATATGTAGATTTCATTTTTTTCAAGGTTGCAAAATCAAAACGAAACAGCGTGTAAAAATAATTCGTTTATTATCGGTACAGATTTCTAGTAGATCGTACTGTTCTCATCAAAGGTTATTTTTACCAGTCCAGAGCTAAATTACGATCCACATCCAATTCGGTTTCAAGAGAACATTGGTTTCCAAAAATGCGTCTCTTCCGTTTCACGTATTCAATAAAACCCAAGCAAATTGTAACGACTACTTTCTTAGGCCAAGTGCAGAAAGAAGATAAAGGAGAATTGGAAATTTCCTTAGTAAATCCGACTGTTATGTCTCGGTAAACAGCCAGTCTGTTTGACTAAGAGCTGTTTGGGTAGTTGAGAGCTCTTAGGTGGACCGAACTGCGCACCTGCTCAGATAATTTTCTGTTGTCATGCCCGATCAACCCCAAACAGCTTACGGTAGCATGTCTCGGAACATGCCCAACTTTTGCTGGTTAAAAATTGCGTAAAAAAGAATAAACATTTTCCATGGATATTTTTTGATCAGAAAAGAATAACCGTAGAAAGTGGAGGGTGAGAAGCAATGAACAGTTGATTTTATGTTCCTCCTATTGAACAAGGTATAAAACTGATTTTTCCTGAGGCACACAGGTTTTCAAATGCTACTCAACCTAATCTCAGTTATCAGTGTAGATCGGTCTTTCTAAATCTTTCAGTTCCTTTTTTGACGCATGTTAAGTTTTAATAGCTTGTCCCATCAAATGTTGAGGCATTTTAAAATTGCAATTATGGTTCATCACATGAACATGTTTATTTGTACCTTGATGAGTAAGTTATGCGTTGCGATCTTAATATGACTACGCATGAATCCCTTTGCAATTAGGGAAGTAAACTGAGCAGATATTGGCGTTTCATAACAGAGATTCCGGTACATAACACCTGAGTTTACGTACATCAGTTTGATTTTTAATTCTGGATAATGCATTGTATTGACACTTTCAGCCGGACGCGAGAATGTTATGCAATTTTCGGCAGGCTAATTTTGCCAAATGCGAACCTCTCACAGACTTATACCAATTTAAACTACGTATTAGAGGTACTCCTATTCGATTATAAGAAATAACTCTTTTTAATTTCGAAGTATTGTTGTGACGCAGCATTTGGAATTGTGCGTCGTCAACCAAACTGTCTAGTGCCTCCTATGCATGTACTTATTTTGTGACTTGGGACCTCGATGAAACTCTTCGAATATTATTCAAAGATAATATATATATATATGTATATATATGAAGAATCCGAGGCCCACGTTGACTAACCGGTGTTACCTGGGGCTATTTCTGATATACAGTGAACAAAAGAAACGACCACCAGCACTCGTTTTCTCATATATATATTCCCCAGAAAAATGATATCTGAATACAGCTATTGAATGCACGGTACAATAAGGCACACCAAGCTTATGAACAATGATGTGCACGACATGTTTATTTAAGCAGAAATGTTTAAAAAAGGTGATAAGAGTGGGAGGTCCTCTTCCACTTTGTCCCTAAAAGTGCTACCTTTAAGTGTTTACAACATCCATTCGGCTGGAAGACCTTGATATACCTTGCAATACCAGTCACTGTCCCTTGTTCGATAAACTATACTTCTGACTTAGGTGTGGTACGCCATGGAACCTGTGGAATCCTCGTACAATTGACCAAGAATTATTCACCAAATATTTGTAATTTGTTTTGGTTTTGGGGTATAGGCAGACCACCGGTAAGCCGCTCTGCGAAACAAAACTCAAGAAAATGCAACAATCAATATTATATACTGTACACCCAACAGACATCAGCACTGCCCTGTTGAAGTATGATGTCATTTTATAATCGACTGATCAGTATCGGGATCAAAACATGTTCCAGCTTACCAATATAAGCCAGGGAATTTTGTAACACTTCAGTTTTAACTGCCAGTTTTTGAACTTTTCAATCCATCACTGAATTCCTGTTGATGTCCTCTGACTAGAAACCCATAACTTTCTCATATCGCACTTTTATTGAGTATTCCAAACATTCAGGATACTCACTACGCATTCATACTGAGTGTGTTCCTAACCTAATTCAACGATGCGGGATCAATTTTATTATTTACTTCGATGAAAGCACGAAGTGTATTTTCGGAGGCGAGACGAATCGAACTGAGTTATTCTTATTTCGGTAATAGTTCCAGAACTAATGGCTCGAATTAAGGTCAAACATTTTGGATATTTTTGTCTGTTTCATAACCGGAAGATTTCACGCACACTGAATCCCGTTTGCTAGAATGTAGATAGCTTGCCTTTCTCAAAACCGGTTATTTTCTGTCCATATGACATTCCTTAGCCACCGAGTGGCATGTAAGTCAACGATGGTCACCGCGAGAAGGTAGACAACAGGGTTCGCATCACATGCCCCTGTTTAGAGGAGCCCCGTGATTCCGGGCATCATGGGTTTGTCAGCCGCTTCATCCACAGGCCAAACTTAAAAGCATGTTGTCAAGATCAGCGGTCAGTCTGGTTTCGCGAAAGTTCAGATGCGGAAACGCACACACACACACACACACACACACACACACACACATGGTACTTATTCCCGTTCTGAAATTTGTGGTGCTGTATCCCAACGTGCGTACATTCCGACCGATTACACTTTTGTTACGGAACAAAGAAATGGAAATAAGTTGTGAAAGGAGAGATGGGGTCTCATGCCTTTGTCTTGCATTATGTTACCGACGGATAAACACAAATGGAAAGTATTTCTTTAAGTTACTTTTTCGCCGATAATTTAGGAGTGTTGATGCTGAGAAGCAAAATGAAAATATTCACGTCTTACTGGCACCCCAAAACAACCCAAGACAACTCATGACTGTTAAATACACACGGTCTGGAGGAGTTGAAGGGAACAAAAGCCCATATATTTTTATAGAAACGAGTTATCTACTCCACGAGGGTTGTATTCCACAGCTTACGTCGAACCGATCCAAATTGTGAAACGATCCTTTGTGTGAAACAATCTCTTCTTCGGCATAGAATCTAATGGGAAGCTTGAGTATGTGTTCTCGAGACAAATAAATAGCTTATCCGAAAACCTCATAATATTTGATCTTTTATACATATAGGAAATGAAGTGTGGCAAGACGAAACTAGCCAATGTTGCTGTCGGTGGTTGTTATGAAAAGTGTCCAACGTAGTGGTTCACAACCCACATTTGCCAGAGTCAGTACACACTCTCATCTGAGTGTTGGACACCTAAAATTTGGATGAAAACCATCATCAGGATTCTAATACATTTAAAATCGTTGCACTCTGTCTTGAAGAAGTTATGATTTTCAGACCAAAGAGCTGTTCGCATGAACATTGGATGATAATTGTACAATCTAGGTAATTGAAATTTACATTAAAAATGAGAAAATGGCTGTGTAGAAAATTTGTGAAAATGTTCCGGGCCAGACACAAATCAAATCAAATATTCACGTGTAGAATATGTAGAATTCAATGCAGATTTTTAAGGACTTTCACTGTCTTCCAGTTCATTGCAAATACTGAACGTAAGATTAATTAAAGCATTAAATAGCCGTTTGCTATTCCATTCTCATTGATGCCACAATTGTATTTTTTCCAAAATAATTTTGATTTTACAATTCAGTCGGTTCATAAGAACCATATTTACATGTGACATTTATTGGTCGTCCCAGCAAGCTCTCTATTTATTCAAGCGGACGCTAAACACCGCGCGCTAGACAAAACCGGACTAATAGCAAATTATGTTACAAACCCAGGTTCTAACTTTGTTTCTTAAAAAGTGTTTCATAAATTGCCTGACACCCCCCAAAAGGGTAACCGTTTCGTTGTTTTCAGTTTGGTGAAATGTCGCTTGACATTCTAACAGGGAAAATATATTCTTCGAAATGCAAGCTACAGTTTTAAGCTTCCAGTTTTTATATGGTGTATCTGGTGAACAGTTTAGCTCACCTACATCGATTTTTAAATCCAAATGTGTGTGGTGGTGGTGGGGGGGGGGAGAGGAAACGTCTGTCAAAACAGAGCGAAAATTTACCCAAATTCACCAATTTACTAACTTTTTGTCGAAGCTTCCGGCAATGAAGTTTACTCATTCCTGAACAAAAAGCATTTAGTTTTTACGTCTCTGTAGAATGGAGCCATATAACGAATAGTTTTTCCTCCCCTTTATTTAATTATTCTACAAATATATGGCTTTGGTGACGGGTAGAGACCAATCACCACCTGTGAGGTGAAATAAAGAAATGTTGAACTCGGTGGTTGGTGATTGGATTGGAACTAACTTACCCTGAGCCATTGTTATGATAACTTCAAATAGTTGAGGATGTGTAATCAAGTGGTTTATTGCAGTGAGTTCCGTTTCCTCGGTAATTGTAGTATAAAGTGGAACGGTAGATCTACAAAGAAGAGATTTTCAGACGTGATAAGTTTTCGTTTTGTCCAGATCCTCTCATTGCTGTTTATTGGGCCAGCGCAGGTGCTCCAGTAGCACCAAATGTTTGGTTTTACCAATAGTAGATAATACTAACTCGTTGGTCGCGCTAATCCGTGATACTTGGACTACATTTGGACGGATGTGTATTTCACACTCGAGAGTGAGTAACAAAGTTTGTGAACTATGTAAATAAACCACCTTACTTGCATGAAAACAGTAGGAGAAACACACACATATATATATATATGTTCATCTGCACGCACTGATGATGTCACCTCGGCTGGTGATGAAAAGTTAGGAAATAAATTGCCAAGCTCGGTGAACAGGCGAAAA